TGTAATTAAAAATAGAAATATGCTTAATGTAAATTAATAATAAACGTTAATCAACACAACATATATGTATGTAAGTTGGAAGAGTAAAGTAATCCACACTCAGAAAACAAATGTAAATTAACTTCAGATTTCCATTTGAATATTGGAAAATTCTTTGCATTTTGATAATTGGTTGAACTTCCTAGCTGCGATACGTACATATACGAATATATACGAATATATACGAATATATGTACGTTCCTGTGATGCATACATATGTATGTATATGAAAATTGCATGCGCTAAAATACAAAAATGTTGTACTACAATGGCGCAAATCAAAAATATATATTTTATGTCATAAATACATATCTATCTATGAACATACATACCTATGAATTTCTGAATGAACTAAGTTTTTACTTGGAAATTGAATTTATTTCACTAGGCGCTCAACATGTTTCGCAACTGTTTTCAATTTGCGAAACCGTTTGATATGTCTGCCTATTTTGTTCTGACGGTGTGATTCATCGCTCCTTGCTTGTAACGGCGGCTGCCGTTTAATTGTCAAAAATGAAGTTGAACTTCATGCTTCTGTTCCTTGTAAAATTATCTTTTGAAACTTGGTGTGTTTCTGTCAGAAAGAACAATAAGCTACGGTGCTCCCAAATGACTGAAAGCGTGCTGATTCTCTCATGTTAATATATGACAACCAGTTTCCTAATATCGTGTGGCACGCATATTTTACATAGCACGGAAGTTTTGTAAATGAAAACAAAAAAAATAACAGAACTACAGAATAGAATAACCAAAGTATTCTGTCCTAGCTAAACTATAAATTTCAAAGTTTTTCAACTAAATAGAATTAGAATTAGAATAACATAGAAGGAGAATTTTTTGTTCTTAAGATTTGTTTTTATACTGAGTTCTATATGTTGCTTCTATACCAATGGAAATTTCATGAAAGTACACTTCGAAACTCTAACATTTTGAGTAAACAATCTTCGTATTTGTATGAATTCTCGCGTATTTTATTCAACATCAAATTCAGAGCTGAGATGTTAGTTCTTTGACACTCAACGACAACACATGGCTTCTTCACTGTTTTACAAGCATAATAAAATTAATTTGCCGTTTTCGTCACCGTGTGAAGAGAGACGAAAATATTTGAAAAAATTATTTGACATTACGTAATATGAAATTAAATAAAAACTCATTTTAATATCGATTAACAACGATTGATAATCGAGCAGAATTGTTTCTGCTCTAATTCTGTTGTTAAATATCAATATAAAATTTAGATATAGTTTATAGTACATTAAAAGCAAAAGTTCATTATCTTATATATAGTAGTTTAATTGTAATTAGTAGTTACAACCTCATTTTATGCAATTAAAGCTAATTGCTTAAGTTAGATTTTATACGCCTTATATCTAGTATATTAATAGTGAATAAAATATGTTGACATGTTAATGGTTTGTTTCATTTGTTTATTTGTACATTAGTAAATTTTTTGACTAAAATTTCATAAATTTTACTTAAGTCAATATCACCAAAGTTTTATACCCTCCACATAAAAGTATATTAGATTCGTATATTAGATTTATGTAAATGAATGCATAGTTTTTTATTGATCAGCATTAGGAAATAAACACAGTCAGTATTATCTGCCTATCTGTCTATTTTATGCATAATATTCTCTCAATATAAAAAAAATTTTTCTTTTAAATAAGATTATCAACACCTAAAAAGTGTCAAAGATTTCACCAAAACTGTTTTTTTTTTTGCGGAGAAAAGGTTTAAAAATGCTTAACGCATTGTCACTATGTCGTCATAATAGTGGTATGCCTGGTTTGTACGGACTAAAAACAATCCCTCTCATGTTCCAGACCGTTTCTATCTTGGAATACTTCAGGATAGGGGCCCTATGTTGGTTTTTCATTAAAAAATTTTGTTTTTCTTCGTTACATTAGATTTAATTGTTTTTTTCTTTTTTAAAATTAACATTTTCTAGATCACATTTTTTCTGTTTGAGTATGATCCTAACGAATCGGTCTATGGCGGTCTAATTTTCTTCAGATAGCATCATCTTTGTTGGGATATCTTTGACGTTTATTTTACCGACTATTGTTTCAAGTGATGTTCTGTCGGTATTTCATCTGTTGCATTCGAAGATGGTGTGTTCAGCGTTGTCTTCGTCTGCATCTCCGTATATGTATTTCAGATCATTTGCTTTGCCAATGCCAATATTAATGAACAGAAAGGAATGGAGTTAAGTAATAGTTTACTTCGCCAGTTTTGCTGTCTGATCATTTCTCTACATCTGGGATCAATCTTTTGTTTCTGCATTCCATCTTTGTTGCCACAGTTGTTAGATTTGTCGTTTTTCATCTAGATCATTTAACGTTGTATTTGGTTGACTTTGGTAGAGCTATCAGAAATACTCACATTATCGACAGTAATATCATGAGTGTCTTTTGCCACAGATTTGAATACATCCAAATGGCACTTAATCGAGCGAATACTGGTATTGAAATGATTATATGTGACCAACTTTATCCTTTGAGGAATAATTTTGTCCAGATTAGATTAGATCGAATAAGTTGAAAACGTGACACTATATTTGCTTGAGACAATATCCGCTGTGACGAAAAATTTTACGATGACGTAAAAAATTAAGAGTGAGTGAATGTAAAAAGACATGATCGTTTTTCTTAACGAGGGTTTGTGAAACATAATATTAGGTGATGAGAAAGCTTTCAAGCTGTAGCATAATGTTGTCGATTTCCTCTGTTCAGAAGGGTCGAGGTTAGAGATAAAATGGTCTAGTATAGAATTGAAACTATCCCAACAAGTAGCTGAAAAATATAAGAAAGTGAGAGAAGCGGTTAAATGGGTTCTACAGCAAATAAGTGACAAAACAAAAACTTGACTGTAGGCTATACCATCTATGACGGAAGCGTCACCAATAAGATCAGAAAGGCGACTCTCAGCAAAGAAGAAATCGATAGTTGAGTTGACACATGTCGGTGTCAACAATGAGATGGTGCAATGAGACTGAGATCAAGGTTGATGCAATTACTAATGTACTAGTTATATATTTTAATACCACTGTTGTAATTATAACTTATGTTCCAGAAATAATGTTTGCTGTTGCAGTCACCTCCAATAGTACATGGATTTGCATAGAAAATGAAAAGGATTTTAGAATGATAGGGGTTATTCTATCATTAGAAGGAATGGGAGCAAAGCTCGAAACTTTAAGGTCTTTCAAAAGTGTGTTAATTATATAGAAAGTATCCTTACATTTAGTTAGGATACGAGAAATGTTGCTGTTTACAGCCCGTTTAGGGACAAAAGCTTTGATGCTGTTACCAAGTTACTTGATATTTGTACCATGGACTGTGATGAGAGATATATTATTGATTTATGTAGTCAATGGTGAAGGTCTTATTGTTTTATTATTGTCTTGTGCAGTCAATGGTAAAGGTCGCATAAAAGTAGGTGGCTTATAAAGAAGGGCAATATGATATTCCAGAACAAGAAGCGATAGAAAACTAGCTTCGTAGACAGTTATCGCTACTCAACTTATTATTTTCTGAGTTTTAACACATGTTGCTCATCATAAAATGATGCAGGTAGCACAATAAAATCTATTTCAAACTTGTAGGTAATAAAATTTTGTTTATTATTTTTTTCTTTATCATTTAAATTTACTAAAAACACATATAAGTTGTATTATTATATATGCACTTTTAAAAATGTAGATTATTTGGAAGCTTAAAACACAACCGTAATGATTGAGGTATTAAGTAACAGTGAATACATGAATCAAAAAAAGGAAGTTCGTTTTAAGGACAAACCTTGAGTAGATGTCGGTTGATTACTTGTACATGCCATATAGTTGCTAATATACAAGCTGAATGATTTAATCTGAAGTTTCTTTCTTATATGTAAAGGTGCTATTTAAGTTAGGTACTTGATTCGTGCTATCAATATTACGCTTTTTTTACGATTTTTTAACAAATTTTCTTTATTTTATAAATTTAGAATAGAAAGTGAATATATAATATATATGAATATATATGAACTATAATTCGAATATAGTTTTCAAATTTAGGCATAAAGATTTGAATTAAACTATAGCATTTATATATGTATATATTATTCATATTTTACATAAAGAGAAAGCAAAATAGTTGAGATTTGAATATTTGTACCATTTAAGCCAATGGTTCAGGTGTAAGTTCTGTGATGAGAAAATCTATAATTTCTTACCATTTTATCAATGTATTAATGTATTAAATTTCATATAATGTATTTTTGATCAAAAAAAATGTTAGTAGACTGCCAATTAACAATAATTATTTTATCAACGATTGACAGTAGAAATCCCCCGAAATATAATATATAATATAATTTGCATTTATGAATATTGATATACATTAACTTGTTTTCATATCTGTATGTTATATATCATGTACACATAGATTTATTAAGTTTTTTATCGGACCGGTTGAAATATCTCAAAAATATTTGAAATTCGAAAAATAAATAAGAATGAGATGATTGAAAACTACCAAAAACCAGTTCGACTTACAGAAAATTGTGTAGTCAAAAAACTCACCACACTTACTTTAGAAGAGATCTTTTTTTACTAAATCTGCTTATATTTGTTATATGAGTGTATACCAGCGTAAGTTTATACTGATGTAATTTATGTGAAATAAGTATGAAAATAGTTGTAGTCTCTAATTGTCAACCTTCTTTTCGGAATGATTGAACAACTTCCGAAGGTGTGAAAATGTATAAATACACCTATACTAAGATTAGGGAAGATTTGATCAGCATCACTAAGAATGAAGCACTAATGACGCATTTATACAAACTGATAAACTTGTTTTATAGTTAAGTATTTAATATCAAATTAAATACAAAAACAAAGCAATAAAAATTTTACAATAACATATATGTATTATATGTTCAAAATACTAATGTCATACGTATCTAGAATAGAACTTCAATTTAGTTTGGTAATACGAAGCTTGTGTTTAAAACTCAAAATTGGAATCAGTCAGTAAAACGGTCTGCATAGCATTGTTCGGTACTAAAAACATTTTTGAATTCATGAAGAGCGGAACATCGATAAACAACGTAGATTAATTTCAATAAAGCAAATAGCTTACATAATCATATTTTTAATAACGAGGTGCTTCCTTACTGGTACTGCTATCAGAATGGGAAATTTTCCACTGCTTTTGTTTATATGGTGTCTTTTAATCTGTTCAGTATTTAAAGGTATATATGTGTACATCAAATTTATAAGTTCTAGAAATTAAATCTAAAGAAATGGTGATGTGGTTTATTAAGTGATTGATATTTAGCATTTAATCTGATTGATAAAATAAATGATCATGTATTACAAATGAAATTTTTTTTTTACAGTGACAAATGGTCAATTCTATGCTCAACAACCAAATAATTTTGTAGGAAGCACTGTCCCCAGAGGGTCAGTTGCGCGTGCATCAAACACTGTTCGTGAACGTGAATACAATTATGGGCCTTTAGAGTTTTCTCAGGGTATTTCCAATTCACGTACAATAACAAAAAACAATGGCGGTATACGAAATGGAGGAACGACGAGTGTAGCAAGAAGTAACGCGATTTCGCGTGAATTAAACATAGGTGGTATTGATGTTGGAGGTACATTAACTCGTTCTCAAACAAAAACTAACGGCGCCGTATCGAATGCATTGGGATATGATTTTAATATTGGTAATTTAGGTATTGGTTCTTCAATATCACGTGACAATTTAAAAAATGGATTTGGTCTCCATCGAAATTCTGATGGAACTGTTGGATTGGGCTTAGGTTTACTTGACGTAGATCTAACGCGAAATGCACAGCAAAAAAATCAACCGCTTTCACAAGCTCAAGTAAATGTACAAGGTAGAAATGCGAAAACAAGAGCTAACAGTAATACTCAGTCAAATACTCAACAATACGGAAATATTGGTGTTACAGATACAATTTCTCGTTCGAATGCCTTTGGTAGTACTAGATTTGGACAAACTTCTGCAAATTTAGGTAATCCTGGAGGATCACCTATTTATACAGGTGCACCAAATTTCTATCGCCCACGACGTAATCTAATTACATACAAACGAATCCAACCAAATTCAGTTTCAGTAAAACGCCCAAAACGACATGTTTTAGACATAAATATTGAATCAAAAGAGCATATTCAAAGAAATCGTAGACAATTTCAATACCCGAATCAAAGGCAGAATTTTTTTAATCCATATGGACAATCTAGTTTCTTATATCCACAAAATCAGAATATTAACTCACAGGGTATTGCAAATAATAGGGGAAATCTATTTCAACAACAAGCTGGTGCAAATACTCATACAAACAAAAAAGTTACCCCAAACGGAGTTTTTCAAGATAATGGCGCATCAAGTATTGGTTCAAATATTGCAAATGATGGACTAAGTGGACAAGTCAGTTCAGCAAATACTGCTCAAATGAATAGTCAATCTCTGGATTCACTAATGATGAGTAATAACGCTCAAAGTCAATCACTTAATTTTGATCCTAATCAACAGCAAGCAACATCATCAAACGCTGGTACTACACATTCTAAAACTAAGGATTCTGAACGTATTGAATCAAACAGTGGATCTCAAGTTACTAATAACAACCAATATGGGTCCTTAACTAATATTGCCAATACTAATACTGCTGCCTATGAAGAAGGAAATATTCGTGGTGTCCAATCTGATGCAAGTAGTCAATCAATATTTCAAGGCGCAAATGGTGAAAATTCAGATGCTTTTACAAACTCGAACACTAATTCAGTTCAGGGACCAGATGGTTTTGTAAGCAACTCTGCTGTAAGTAATGCTTCCGCATCAAGCCAAGGAGGAAATAGTGCAAATGCATCCGCCTCCGCCTCTGCATCATCTGTTTCTAACGCAAATGGAGCTTCGTCGTCTACAAATTCTGTTGCAAATGCCAATGGATTTAATGCAGGAGGAAATAGTTTCGCTAATAGCGGTGCTAATAGCGGATTTGGTTATCAAGGATTTCGAAGAGGTTAGAATAGTTATTATCTGATTCATTCTCTATAATATGTGTATAAAATTCAATAAATGTTTTTTCAACTATGCACTTTTTTATTTTTATTACATGAAACATTTGACAAGGTATCCTACAAAGTATCATACCTACATCAATTTGTTAATTATTTAAAGTTTTTGTTTTTTATTTATTCATGAATATGATTTATCTGAAATAAACACTTATCGTTCTTGTTTATATTTAGTAGCACCGTGAATTGATAAAATTATATTCTTATTTTATTACACTTAAGTATATTATAACCAAATATAGCAAACATTATGGTTTTTGTGATTTGTTTTGTGTACATTAATCAATATGTTTGAATAATTTTATTTGTACGCTAATATTTTACATTACAGTACAACGGCATACATTAAGTGTTTCATCTGCCATTAATCCATTATTGTTATCAGAACTAGACACGTACTCCGTGAATAAGAATGTTCTGCTGCAGAAGTTCCAAAAGGAGCATAACCCGTCCATGTTAATAGGACTTCATAATATTGGGTACAAAGTTCATGACCTAAAATTCTACAGCTTAAAAAATGAATATGTGGAAAGTGACAATTTTACAAATGAAAATCAAAATCCTGCCTTTGTCAATAACAATACGGAACAATTCTCAGTTATTGATAAAAGTCGAAGACAAGAACGAACATTCAGTTTTATAACTGATTTTTTCAATAGCCTGTTTTACTCAAATAGTTGTATTACACCTTGTACCGTAACAGCATTTCAGCAAAATCGTTGTTGCTTAACAGTTATTGTACCTCCACCACTACCGCAAGTATGCTGCAGTACGTCGCCAATACGCCCACAACTTCCGCCACCACCACCACGACAACCTCCTATAATAGTGGTACCCCCAGTTTATATTCCGCCAATTAATTGTTGCAATATGTGTACTTATAATTATTACGGTCCACCACCATGTTACAATCCGTATGGAGCTACAAGAACAGGTAGCTATTTTAATTCAATAGGTTAATGCTATAGTCAATAGAGATCATAGGCGCTATAGGTTTCATAGATTCCAAGCTTGAACTACTTTATACTGAAATTAAGAGTTATTGAAATGTTAGGCATTTATAACTTACTTTAAATGAATTGAATTTTAAAAATTATATGAATTTTTCGTTTGAAAACAAAATTCAAAATGAAAATATTATATTTATATTTAAATATTTAGAATTATTTTGTTAGTACAAAATATATATTTTTTAATCACAAATATTTTGGTTTATATGTATATCGCATAAATAAAATATTTTTACTAAAATATATATGTATTACTGAAATATTATAAAATTGTGAATATGCTATAAACATTTGATAATAAAATTATAAATTTCCTGCTTACAAATACTTTCTAATATAATGTTTTGAAGAAATTTCCAAACAAAAATATTTATTTTTTTACCTCATCTCTGAATAATACATATTCGAATTAATTAAACATTAATAATATAGGTATAGGAATTTTAAGTATAGGTATAACCAATGTCTCTGTACTCCAAAAATTAATTGTAAATGATATGAAAATGATTTTCAACTCATATTTAACCTACTTTGACCACGTAGCGAAGCGATCAGGAAGTCTGGAATAATTGGTTTTATAGGAAAAAGTAAGCGGAAGCAGACAACTTTGGGCGGATCAATTACAACGTCTTCTTGGAAAAACGATGAGTGAAGCGATAAATACTGTGTAAGATCGAATAACATGACGCACTGAAACAAAAAATGTGTATTTATAATACGCCAACGCGCAATGTCAAGAGCAAAGGAAAGAATATATTAAAACAAAATAAATTTAAATTTCAAAATCCTGTTATAGATATGTGACATTAAGCACCTTAGAACCAAAAAGAATTTTAGACGAAATAGTCTTTAAGATAAGAAAAATTTTTAAACCAATTTAAATAATGTTTAAAATTTTATTAATTTAATATAATTAATTAATTATACTCCAGACAGCCTTTAATAATAAATAACCTTTCTAAAACTATATAAATTTTTTGTGAAAATAAAATAAATTATCATTATAACATCAGTCTAAAAAATCCATTTCCATTAACTGTTTTTCTAGATAGTGCGTCGTTCTATCCGCTACTTCTTCCACGGTACACATATTGAGGTGTGTCCTTTGCTGAGTATAAGAATAATGGAATTTCCTCTACAGTAGTGTGGTGAGTTTTTCGTAAAGAAGAAGTGCGATTAATGTCATCTACTGCTAAACGTCGTAAATTTGTGGGTGAAACATTATTTTTGTGATCTGAACTTAATTTTGGATCAAGTATCTGATCTTCATCATCTTCTTTCGGATTTAGCGGTTCATCTATGTCTTCAATAGTATCTACTTCTATTTTTTTGTCATCCTCAGCTTTATTAATAAGTGCTTCTATTTTTTCCAAGCTATCTAAACCATTTGCCTGAAGTTGTTCGTGTATACTACTAGGAATCGCAATGGCTTGCACATCTTTGTGACCCGAGATACCATTAGGAGTTGGAATAAATTGAACATCGGACGGAATTTCAGAAGTAGGATACACAGGCACTAACTCTGCTTCGTTTTCATTACCTGATTTTAACAAAATTAAAGATATGGGAACAATTTTTTTAAATTTTAAGAGCACAAGTTTTTTTATGGCTACAGCACCGGGGAACACACGCGCTTGCTTATGTGATAAGGATCTCTTTAAGTCCAGATGACTGTCTGCAATCACAAAAGCCCCACCATTTCTATTTTCTGGATTCAATCCATGTGATATTTGCCGTCCTAAAAAATATAAGTTTATCATACATTTTAATTATTTAATTTTACCAAACTAACGAACCTTCGCAGTTAAAATTCAAAGCAGCAACAACTGTTAAAACTATAACAGCACACTTTAGACTCATATTTATTTTATTATTTCTTCTATGCTTTATTTTCTTTTATAATATATTGAATTAAATTCTGTTTTCGAAATTGTGGCCGTCTTTATTCAAAACTAAATTATAAATGCTTTAAATATTTAATGTGAAAGACTTTTTATATGTGAAACACATGAATATATTTCATTTGTAGGGTATACATTTATACATTCAAACATTCAAACATTTATACTTTTATACATAAATATTTAATATGTATTTATCACAGCAAAACCATTTTGTTTAAATATACTTATATATGATAAATATCATACATGTTAATTCTACAAACTGATTAATGTTAATCTTCCAGAGAGATATATAAGACGCATAAAATTAGCAATCAAGTTTTAACCTAGTTTCAACACAGGCGACCATATAAAGCAGAATTTGAAAGCTTATTATTTATATCAAAGGAAAAAATTTAAGATTTATTATAATCGTTAATGACAATCCAAGTTTACAAAATAATTTTTACAATGCTTAACAGAAATATTTATTTATTTATTATTTATTTAAGAGTTAACATTAAAATTAATTTTAAAGTTAACTAAGAATAAGGAACTGGACTACCAGGTCGTTCGTCCTGTCTTAACAGAAATAAGTTTATTTGTTGATAGTAAATTCGTTTAAACAAAAAGAAAACAAATTAGTCATATAAGCACTTATATTTTCTTAATTGAGACATATATCACGATTACGCATTTTACATTAATAAAAATATTTAGCTGAATAGCTTAGCAAAAAGATTTCAAGATTCTAATTAAAAACGGTGACAACTTATATTTTATATTTTTATATTTATTTATTTATTAAAGAGTAGACATGAAAATTGCCCAACAGCCGATACTGCGGCCAGAAGAGACCTATTGTACCAGTATATTTTATATATTGCACTTATATAACTATTTTTAGAAGAATCTACTACATGTACTGATTTAGATGAACGTAGCCCACTAGGTACTAAACTTATCTGCTCCCATCTTTTTCCCATGATTACTGAATGAAGTTCCCACATTTCTGTGGAAATCTTCTCCATTCATTCCTGAGGTGGTTTTAGTAGGTTCAAGTCATCAGACTGTGGGTAAAAACTGAATGAAATGATGTCAGAATGGATTACGGTGTGTCTATCAATCGTATGTGATTCTTCAGTAATTTATCCTTGTTGCAGCCAACTCTCACATTAATGTGAATATCTTATGTAGTATAACTAAATAAATTTAGCTGGTAATAATCATGTAACAACTTTGTAATCATGAAAAACATATTAGTATACCGACAGATTATTTCTACAAAAACGCTGCTTTTGTATATATAGTAAATTGTATGTTGATGCTAGTTGAGTCAGTGCATTTGAGTAGTTTTACTCTCTACTAACTGCGAAACCCTCTTTACATCTTGACTGGATTATTTTTATCACTTCATCTGACTAAGCAATAACTGACCTCATATTTGCATACCTTCCCGAGGAGACTGTAACTATTTTAAGATTTGAAAACGCGGTGTTGGTAAACCTGTCCGTCTTCGTGAATAGTTTCAGGGTTCTATCCTTTATGTATTTTTTGTTCGGATCGATCTTGATGTCTCTGAGGATGCCATTTGTCCTAATGTGGCATGGCATCTTGAAAAGTCCACTTAGAGCCTCCAGCTGACAATTAAAAATAACATAAAATATAGCACACATTACTAGCAATTATTTGGAGTGAATAGATTTTAAAATAGTATTTTTTTGTACTTTTCTATTTTTGGTTGATCAATAGAGTTAAATACTTTCCCAGTTTGGATGAATCTGAATAAACATATTCTGATAAGTTTATCACGATACCACATAACTCACAAAATAATTTGATGTATTATTAAAAAGTAGTTGTATTTCTTGTTATATTCGGTCCAAAGAGGCAATATTGTTTTGCAATAGGAGACACAAACTAACTATTGGTAGACTCTATTTTGTTTTGTACTAATATTCTAATCAGCAAATCTAGCCGAAAGTTAGTATTATTATATCAATCAAATTAAGAAAAAAAATGATTTGGGTTGAATTTCTTGATGCAAATACTGCGAATCTGCGTTATAAGATTCTGGATATTTCCATTGTATAATTTAGATATTATGTTTTGAATATATCCCCGATTAATACTTGACTTTGCAGATTGTGTATATTTTGTATAAAAGTATTTGGGATGTTATGGAAACTATTTACGTTGCTGTTTAATTGGTTATCGCAAAATTTACTGGACTGGTAAAATTCTATTTTTTTTTCGTTAGATGAGTTTTTTGTATTATTTGTTGGTTATTAACGTTTTATTGAAAACTATTTGGTTTCGTCATAAATCGTCATAATAATTTGTGGCTGAAAATCGCGCATTGGATTCAATTTTTGTATTTGTACGAATTTTTTCATGTAGTCATTTCTATAGACTTACTTTACGAATTCAGTCGCCCCCAACAGGCTGGAGCCTACTCATCATATCAGTTTGTTAAAACTATGAAACGAGTAAGCATTTCTATTTAGGTTGTCTTAAGGTCTCAAGATAGGTACGCGTTCTGGACACGCGTTACTTTATATCATAATCTGTCTACAAAACAAATATTTTAAAAATAGTGCCGTTTAAATCGAAAAATCCTATGTATTGATATATTTAAAATAGGATACACCCACATACATTCACTTAGTGAGAAGAATCCATTTTAATATATGCAAATATGTGTAATAGACTTTTTTATTAGAGGATCTGTTAATACTATTTTTACACATATTACAAAAACTTAAACAGAATACTAAGCGTAACACAAGCTTAAATAAAAAACAAATGAATTCTCATTTAGTTTGCCAACGTCGCTCTCCTCTCAGAACATGAACGCAAGTTTCTTTAGTAAACGCAACTGTAGTAAAAAACTAGTCACAATAAAAAGCTCTTGTTTGTGCGCACGTTCGGCCAGTTCCTCAATAGTTTTTATGGTTAAAAGAAGTGTCAGTGTTGATTGATGCGACAATAGTACATGATTAAAGAATCCAATAAGGACTTACTTCAAATTTTTAAATAAAATTTTTGTTTTAAGAGATAATGCAAACAATTGAAAGATCATAATGAATATTAGATGTAATCATAAAACATTGGTTGTAGTTGTTTTTCTAGCCTCCTTAGTTGTTGCGGAAAACATTGCAGGAGCAGATAAAAACATCAAGAACATCAAGGATGCACCAAATACAGTTAATTTAACAATTACTGAAATCCCAATTGAGGGTAAATACAAATTAATTATTACAATTTTGAGTTAATATTGTAAAAATATTTTTAACTTATTTGTAGATGATGAAATTAAAACATCGACTGAAAAACCTCCAGTTTCTAATGTTGAAGAAAATATTCTTAAGAACGATAAAAATGATATACAGCGTCACACAGTAGCAGACTTTATCATTCATCCATTGATAGCATTGAAGCCTAGAAACAGCGAAGGTGATATACCCGATGGTAAACAAGCAAATAATGTAACAACTTCACCCTGGCAAATATTTGGTTTTAATGCTGGGCAGGGACTTGGATCATCTGTATCGTCGTTAGCAGGTCAAGTTACAGGCTGGATAAATGATCGAATTCAGTTACCTGGATTAGTTGAAACACCAGTTCGAGAATCTACTACAACAACAACAACTACAACAACTGAACGTCCGGATGTCGTTGTAAGAGTTCAACACAAACCCTCAACAAGGAAACCTGTTATTCGAATATCCAATAAGAATCGTCCAAGCAATTTTAATCATTTAAATAATAGAATAAATAATAACAATGAAAATAATTCTGATGAAAACGATAATGATTATGAGGATGAATCTGATAATTTTGATGAGGAAGATGATGATGAAGAAGAAGAAAATGAAGGTGAGAAAATAATACTTGGTAAAATTTTATTAGTAAATTTTAAATTTGTAGATTCTACCGAAGACGATGATGAAACTGATGATGATGACGAAAATGAAAATCAATCTTACGATGATGATGATGAAGAACAAAACATTGATGAGGAACTGGATAATGATGACAGTGGAGAGGATGAATTAAACAAACCAATACAACGGTATCGGTTACCACAAAATCAACGACTTCGACCGCAGTCGATTCAGCAAAAACGTCGCACTCCTGGTAAACAACGTAAGCAAACAACTTACACACCAAAACATCAACGCGTTTATTTTACTGATTATGAAGATGATGAAAATGAAGAAAGTGACACTTATGATCAATTTTATTATGACTCACGACCGTCAACAAAGAGGTCACAGACCCATCCAAATTTTATTCAGCGTGGGCAACAAAGCTTAATTCATCAAATTCGTCAATTTACAGGGGTACAAACTCCTGCAGCTATTGGTGAAATTATGCAATCTAAGCAACCTAAAAATAAAAAAAAGGGTGAACACGCAACACTTTTTATTAACCGAAATGGTCAAACAATTTATGTGGCACCAGAATTAATAGACTCTAAAATTTCTATATTGCCTTCTTCCTATTCGCAAAATAATGTTCGAAAACATTACAAACCTGGTCAATATCCTCAACCACCATTGACAACTCCTATTAAACGGAAAGGGCAACCAACACAATATATTACAATTCCATGGTCTAAGCTTGGTATTTCCCCTCCAACACAACTTGTGTCTGTTGCAGAGGGCATACAATCTCAACCTTTTATTCTAAATATTCCGCAAGAAGCAATTAATAATATGCAAACACCAGATCGCAAAAAGAAAAGACCTGCCATTTCCGCAAGTGCTGTTCCTCTCCTAGCAGATGCCTCTCTTATGAACATATTCGTGCCACCAAAAATTCCTCCATCTCGCACTTCCACACCAATAGCAACATCTAATACTATACTAACACAAGGTACACCTGTCATTATTGCAACAAAAGCAAAACCAAATACAACAAAAACAACACATAGCTTATTACAACAAAAAGTACGTCCCGGAACATTGATCGAAATGTCACCTGTAATGGAAGTATCTGGCATTCTAAGTGAAGCAGTTAAAAGTGCAGAAAGATCAGAAGATTCAAGACCAGCAGACTCAAAAAGTAGTAATGAAAACGAATACATTTTTGTGGGTGATGATAAGGAGCCTGAACTGGCAAGACAAGTTCAACCAATTACGGCCAATGTTCCATATGCAAAGGGAAACCACATGCGCCGTCGTATTAATTTGCATAGACGCTCACGTACCATTGAACACCCGACACCCGTAGCTTATGTTAGGGACGAAGTAAGCTTGGAACAGCAAATTCCAGTACAAATTGTTAGCGAAGAGTCTACACCGAAGACTGCAGTAAAAAATACAAATAATGAAGATGTGCAGCAAAGTCACCTTAGTTGAATGATTTCTAAGAGTAACCAATTTGAAGACTATTGTATATTACTTAATATAAGAAAGTAGATAACATTAAAATAAACCAAATAAAATTATACATATTTTATGTAAACTTCAAGTGCAGTTATTTTAATAAACGTATTTATATGTAATTTGGATTGCTTTCTAAGGCTTCAGTTTGTATAAAGAAGTAATTTTACGACAATAATAAGAAATATTATTATATAGTCGAAATCATTTATCATTAAATTAGCTTTTAAACACATAAAATCCAATTTTAATACTAGGAATTTGGTGAAAGTATTACAATAGAGTAGTTAGAAAGTGTTCTTTAATTAAAAAAAAATAATTTAGTCACTGTTACTACCTTTTAGTTATTTATAAATATTATTTCCTCCAACAAAAAGTTTTTTACCTTGGACTTTTAGTATTTAATTAGAACAGAATTTGCATGTGCAAGCAATGCCAGCGTTTAATAGTCTATAATTCTATATATGTATATTTTTACTAAATTAAAACTTTCTTTTTTCACAAAAAATAGTTGTTTTTGCTGATATAAATGGCAATATATACTTAATTAGTATATTTCAGAAGATATAAAAAATTTAAAATGCAAATGATATCAAAACAAAATAAATGATCACACAAATATGCATGGGCTTACGTTGTTTCCTTAATGTAAAATTAATATTGCCACAAAGTGGTGAACCATATTTATAAGAATTATAATTAATGCAAAATTAATTCGAATTAATCACGAAAATAGCGAAATATTAATGTTTCTAATCGCGTTCAATGAACTATCAACTTTAGCACAGATTTCTCTTTTGAAATACTTGGCTTTCATTCATAGTTAAATATTAAATATCTTAGTCACAATGAACTACTATCTCCGCAAATTAATTTGCATAATATATAAAAAGGTGGTGTTTATCATTAACTTCTTATAGTATTTATGTAAATTTTATGAAAACTAATGGCTATGAACTGTTACAAAGGTTAGTAACCTTTAATTATAGTTTTATTCTTCTTTCATCTTTTAATCAAAATCTACGGAACCTTTTTTATCTGTTTTTTTTGGCTAAAGCATCAAGACTTGGTAAGCTGTACGCTTACAATTTATCGACAATGTCTATACAAATGATCTGTTAAAACTTATTTTGCACAGTCTTATAGAAAAACAAAATTTTCTTAGAAAAAATTAATACTTTTCCATAAAATTGTTAGAATTCCAAATATGGAGTTCTTTGAATCAATTGAGTTTGTGTTTTCAAATTTTCTTTGGATTTTTCTTTTTAAAATTGTATCATCAAACCACACCACAATTTCGGATAGAATAAAGTATTGACATTTTATATAAATGTTAGCTAGAATAGCTGAACTAGCTAAAAATCTAATGTAAATTCTGCAAAGTTCAACTACTTGTCCCCATATTGGAATCCTAAAGTTCGATTAACTCGCATCTAAAAAAAATTGTTGAAGTATTTAAATAACTGTTCTAACGCTTTTAAGTGGGTCTTTGTTGGCGTACGGGTTCAACAACACACGCACAACTTGGCCACTGGCAATTTACTTGAAAATCATTCAACACCAGATGCTGTTAACTATAACAAAATTAGTTTTGAATTTTGAATATACAGCATTCTTATAGGTTTTTTGATATATTTATTTTTACACATTTCGTATGGTCAGTGAACTTGTTGATTTTGTTCTTGTGCAAAACAGTATTTAAATTTATATGTAGTTATATTATAAAAAAGAAAACATTCATAATCACATATGGTGTTTATTTCAAATGATATCAAAAGACATGCAAATGGATAACATCCAAAGAAGAGAAGCAGATTGTCAAGACAATGATTGGTGCGATCACTGTTACGAAGTAAACAAAATAAGAATCTAAGAAGAATCTTCCCGCTTTGAGTAAGCTTAGAACTTTTGCATAAAAACGAATGATGTGCTCTTGATGTTTACAGTTCTACTGACATTCCCATTCAGTTATCAAGGAACACGAGAAAACTCTGAAGACGATAATAACTTCTATACATTAGAGGAGCTGTGTAATAGCAATATTTTTATTGTTACATCCAAAGCAGCAATATGTTTAGAATAATCGCAATACTGTTGGTCAGTGTGGTCTTCACTACAGCAGGTTAGATATATGACAATTGGAATTAATTAGTTTTATAATTGATCACATTTTATTTATACAGAACCTCGGGTTCAGCAAAGTCGCGGTCTTGCATTGAATCATCACTCAGCAAACGCAAATAATCCCTATTTATTTTTAAGTGTTCCCCGTGGTCGATCCAGTGCTGTCGTTCATGGTTTTGAAATTTTAGATGCAGATGCTAGTAAATTGATCAGAACCAAAAGTAATGACGACATTGATGAAAACTTGGAAAATGAAGATGACGATGATGAAGGTGATTACGATATCAGTCACAGGAGTAATGAACAGGAAAATGATGACGAAGAAGAGGAAGAACAATTAAATTATGCTGACAAAGAAAATTTTCCAAACCTAAAATCAATACTGAAAAATGTGAAGTCGACTCAGATGGCTGTTGCTAAAGAACACGCAGGAGCTATTATGGTTCCAGATGGAGTCATTGAAATTGAAGGACAAAGTGTTATAGATGAAAAAACTGGACAAGAGGCATTATTAGTACCTCGTTCTGCACTTAATGCTATACCAGATGGAAGTGTGGTAGCCCTTATAGAAACCAGTTCGCTTGATGAACCAGTTGAAGAAGAAAGAGCTAACCGAGTTTACGTTCGCCGCCGGCGAAAAGGCGCAAGGAAAAATATCCGCCGTGGGTTCAACAAGCGCAGGCGAAATGGAAACAAAAACCGAAGGCTTTCAGCAAAACGAAAAAATGTGCGAGTTATTCGTACGGGTGGAAAAAACAGAAGGCGACGCGTAAATAACAGCATTCGCCCAATTAGAATACAAGGCTAAACGTAAATTGAAATGACTTTACAAAATAATTAAAATGAAAAAACTTTTTTTGTGGGATGACCATATTTTAGAAATAAATGTGATAATGAATTCTTATTTTAATATTTTGCTGGTTTTATTTGTCTCAAAACAATTTCAAAACATTTTTTAACTTATAAGTATTATAAGCACAAGCAACTTAATTTATTTTATTTCCCTGCTCTTTCACTATATATATATAGATATATATATATATTGATTAGAGAAATCTTATAAATACCTTTTCCCAAAAGTTTATTCCAATAGCCAATAGTGAAACATTAGTCAAACATTAAGTTTCGCCACAATACAAATGCCTCGAATATTAGTTAAAATACTCAAAACTTTCTTTTTTGAGAGATTTAAGAATATTTATTTAGCAAACTAGCTACATTGATGTAACTGATTATTGGTGGCGATATAAGAGCTAAGTCAATCGATGTTTGCTTCGCATTAGGTTTTTGTTACCACACTTGGGTTGAGGTTGTCCTATTTGCGCTTCATCAAAAGTCCGAAAAATGAGAATTTTTTGTTCGATTTTAAGGCTGTGGACATTGCTGATATTTGTATCAATTGTCTTTTGCGGTATGTTTAGCGAAAAATTGTGATATTACTCACAAATTAATTGAATATATTAACTAAACTTGTCACCATTTAAAATAAATTGTTTTGTATAGATAACTAATAAAATATATTTAGATAATGAAATTGAAACAGAAATCAAACGCTTCGAGCATGAGAAACAAACATCAGAAGATTCTGCATTAAATGTTGCAATAACACACAAAAATGATCAGATTTTAGATGAGAAAACGCTTACAGACGACATTATTGCAGTTAAACCAGATGAGAATAGAGAATCTAAAGATCAGAATGTGAATGATATAACGCTTTTCATAAAATCTGACGAACTCATTCAAGATTCACGCATGGTAGGAAATAATTACTTTTCAAAATTACATTATTTGTTCTTTTTTAATTAATTAACTTTAACTAATTCAGCAACGCTTGGCAAGATCTCTTCAAGACTTTCATAATACAAAATATCTAACAGAAGGAGCTAATTTAAGAAAATCTAATTCATTGAATGATAGTAATGATAGTGATGATAGTGATGATGTTCCAGACACACTTCGTGAAGGGAGAGCTGTCCGACGACGCAAGCGTATACGACGCCGTAATACAAAAAACAAAGTAAAACGAACTCGTCGCAATAAGCATGTTGCAAACCGTAAAAAAACTACAAAACAAAATAGTTCCAACAAAAAGTTTCTTAAACGTAAGAAGTCAAAAAAAGTAAAGTCTAGTAGAAATAAAAATAAAACAGGAAAACGGCGGCGCCCCAACATTAAAACTGGAGCAAAACGTAATCAAAAGCGATATTATAGCAATCAAAAGTTAAACAAACCGAATCATAACAAAAAGAGACAATTACGAAGGACACAACAAAGAAGAAAACTAAACATGAACACAAAATCCGATATAACAAATTTCAATGAACCCAGAAAGGAAGAGGTTATCAATGAGCCTAACGATTCTTTACCTGTTGCTGCATAATTGTAAATATACTTGTAAGGTTATTTTTAAATTTTTGTTTTTAAATTATTTATATTAAATTTTAAATTTGAGTAAAATAAAAATAATTATGCTTTGTTTTATTTATGATTTATTTCCCTATATATTCCAAACATATAATATATTTCAGGGCTTAAGCTACGGGAATTATCCTTACGTCATCTCTCTCCCCTGATTACTGGAATGAAGTTTGAAGTTTCCTCAGTAAAATATAAAACCAATGCAGTTATAAGTTTGACAACAAAACATAGTTCAAAGTTTCTAGTTGTTGTTGTTGTTGTTTTTGTTATTGTTGTTGTGATTTGAGTTACTGCTGTTGTACACTTTTACTCTTTCGTGGCAGGGGCTTATGCCTGCCCCACACTATAAACTTTAACTATACTAAAATCACTATCATTTATTCATTTCTAACTGATGACGGACCGTAGATAAGCATATCTTCCTGTGCGTCCTGAGGTGGACTTAAGGTTTGTTAGGGCGGGGTTGGGCAACGTATCAACTTTTGTGAATAATTTTAGGGCTCTGTCCTTCATATATTTTTTCACTGAGTCGATTCTTAGATCTCTATGTATGTCTGTTGTTCTAATATACCAAGGAATCATAATTAGTCTTCTTAAAGCCATATTTTATGCTATTTTTAATTGCTTTATGGCAGTATTTGAGGCTTTGCTCTAAGTTACACATCCGTACAGTAGTGCGGGCCTAATTATTTGAGCATATAATAACTTTCTATTTTTGCGGTTGAAGCGATTATTATTAAACAACGGCTTCAGGAGATGTGGAATTATAGAGCAACTATTCCGTTTGCATTTTATGTGTTTATACCAATTAAGCAGTTTGTCAAAAGTGACCCCTAGATATTTTATGCTTTCCTCCCACCGTATCTCCGTGCCACCGACGCTCACTCCTGGAGGATGCTGCCTTTTCTTTCGTGTTATAAATATAGCCTTGAGAAATATAGCCTACACCATGAGGTCTATATTTCTATGTAAGGTGTTACTTACATTTATGGGATCCCGGTCAGAGTAGATCAAGCAAGTGTCATCTATGTAAATCGCCATTGACACGGGGCGTAAGGTGGAGATGTCTGCCGTATATATATTAAACAATGTGGGTAACAATGGCGACCCTTGAGGTACACCTGCTTCTATTGTTCCTGCGGACGAAAGAGTGCTGTTAATTTTAGTTCGGAAGGACCTTTCTTGCAGGAAGCTACCGATGATTTTAATCAGCCCGCTTGGTGTGGGCCATTCCACACCAGCATTTGTCATTTGCGCTTCGCAAAACCTGAAGAAAAAAATATCTCCACTCCAATCTCACAAGTCAGCTCCAAAGTACTGCCATCAATATCTTATGCGGATGCTGTGAAGAAAGGAAGTACAACCCAGCAACTTCAGTCCAATTCTCACTTGCTGGCCTCCCACATGGAGAACCTTTTAGATAATATGCAAAGTTTTTAGTGTTTTCATGTAAAAGTTGATTTGACTAGCTTTTTTTAATGTAGATTAAAAACAACTATTAATTAGTAATATTGTAGTAGTCATTTGTTTTATAATCCTTTCAAAATTTTATAAATATATTGAAGTATATTGATATTACAATACTTTGAATTTTTAGTTATCATTTTTTATAAACTATAAACTTAAAGAAAATATTTTGCAAATAAATCCTTTAAGTTCTATAAAATTTTTAATTACGACCGATTTCGTTTCATTTCAAATATTTGCTTTATTAATTTAAATTACTTTTAGTTTTAGTTAGTTCTTAACATACAATTAGTATTTTTCTAAGAGTATATATATTTTCTAGCTAGTTGTTTTCCTCGGTTATAAATCAAAGTTTTGCCATCAAATCTTTTAACATTTTTTTATCTTGTTGCTTACTCTACCTTAACCACTAACTTAGCCTAACCTATAACTATTTACAATATTTACAGGTACGCTTATTCAACATTAACCACTACCTTAATCTAACATTAACCACTACCTAACCTACAGTTATTATTTACAATATTTACAGGCAGAGTAGCACCTAATGCTGCCTTATCTATATCTATCTATCTATATCTATCACTGCATCCGAGCAACACGATTCCACACGAGTCAGAAGGCGATGCACCACCCCAGTATGACACTCCACCAACGATATCGCTCACCTGTGTACAGCTCTCCTAATGTGTAGTGTAAGTGACCAATTCTCAAACACAGTGAATCCATTACCTCATTGTTTTGTCAGAACACTCAATGCCAGGCATAGGTCCTACCAAGAAAAATTCTCTGTATATTATATATTTGCTGGCTGCTGCTCTGGGTGATCAACATTTCACGTACATGGATCGTGTTGATCTGCACACGACCGCAGTCGACGACGACAATGCAACGAATGAATAATGCAAAGTAAGACCGATCTAATTGAAGCTTTGAGCGTATTTATATTCGCGTCGAATACTTCAACACAGCGAGCTGCTTAATTTGCTGTGATATGAGTGTTGTCTTTTAATTCTTTCGCCAAACAATGAAAACAAATTGGTTGATCAGTGAAAATGGAGTTATGGTTTTTCAAACATTTTTTCAACATTTTTGCATTTGGGTAAACTAATTTCCGAAATAGTTTCGCCACTCTGAACTTGATATTTCTAAAACCAGGGTTTGGAATGTCTTAACGGCTTGATGTCCTATCAATCCGATGTTTTAAATGCTCAAGAACTTATTTCTTTGAACTAATGTGTGGAAGCTCGCATTGTCGTGGTGAAGGATAATCTTCTTTGGTGGTTGATTTTCCTCAATTCCCCGAAGACTTTCGGCAAACAAATGGGAATACCGGTTTTTCTGAAAAACAAACAAAGACCCAAACAGTAGATTGCTGTTTTGTTTCAGGCTCATGGACGTAAATCCATGATTCCTTAATTGTCACGAAAACAAGTGCCTTTTTTAAGCAGTTTGGAAATTATGGGGAGTTCAACGAGAATAAATCTTTCTAACAGCTAAATGTATATGTAAAATAGAATATATGCGAGAATACAAGAACAAATCTTTCTGAAAGTTAAATGTAGATGTAAAATTGAATATAGGCTGATCTCACTAATGCTCAATGCCGTCTCTATCTTCCAGTATGTAACATGCCTATTCATCTCAATCATTTTTCGTACTGCATTCATGTTTTCTGGTACAACAGCCGTTCTTGGACGTCTTTCACGGAATTCATCGTGTAGAAAACGATTACAACACTCGAACTCATTGCATCAGCGTTTTACAGTCACTGGATGTGGGGTTTCTATCACCAAATGTCGAACTAATTTGATCGATGCATTCTTTTTTTCTGATTAATCCGCGTCGAAAATTGTGAAAAATCATCGCACGAACATTTTCATTATTTAAATTTAAGATTAGAAAGGATATAAGAAGCATTCATGTGGCCATCCGGAGCACACAGTCGCACATTCTTGATGACTGCCCATGGTGCGATTTATGACACACATATTATGACTTTTGATGTGATATCTTTGTTAAGCACACTAGATCTCTAAGTAATTATTTTGAACTTAAAATGTTTGGTTTTTTAATAATTATATGCTCCCATACAAAAACTTAATAAAGTTGATAAAGTTAAAGCGTTTTGATTTAAAGTTCTTCATCATACACTTAGTTAAGGCATTATTAACGGTAGTTAGATAAATTTCGTTGTGAAATTAATTAAAAAAGTATAATTCAGTATCAGGATATTAGATATCAAAGTGTTATTAACTAAGTCTTATATATTTTATAATTATTTTTAAACATATTTGTCAATTTATTAATTTATATATTTTAAGCTACATACCATGATTATTTTTTCATATCCTTACACATTCAATTAGATTTTTTCGAACTTTAACCAAATCTTATACAACATTTTGAACAATATTTAACTTCAACTGTTATTTATTACAATATTAACTGTTCATCTCTGAAAATAATAATCAATCAAAAATTTTTGTAAATCGTTTTTCTAAATTTAACGAAACAAAGAATATGAACCACAGAATTTAGTATTCGCAACTTTGTAACCAGAGGCTATATTTAAAATAGCAAGTTAATCACTGAAGAAAACCTCAGACCATGGCTGAGTTTTAATCAATTAATTTTACATTTATATATCTGCAGTTTTGTTATATTATTTTAGTGAAAAAAATTAGTAAGTATATTTGTATTATTAATCTCAGCGTGGAACTTTGACATGCCCTCAGGTATTTACTAATTATTTGGTAGAAAGTTTTCACATATTTAGGCAAATAGTAAAAACATTTCTGGTATATAAAATGGAATAGAACCATTCTTAATTCAGTACGGTTTAAACAGTCATTCTTCAAGTAGGATATGAAAGACTAAGACAATATGAATAACATACATCTAAGTCTTGTGTTGGTAGTTATTTTGTCAATTTCAGTGTATCCTATAGGTAAGTTATTGTACAAAGAATTTGTGAACAGATATTTTTATTTTACGAAATGAAATTTTTTAATTGATTAGTCGGCAAGGACGTTCGACAGCAAAATGAATCATTTAAATTATTTAATAAACAACATAGATCAGTTGGACAACAAGAGGATGTTGTTCCACAAGGACGCATTACTAGCGCGGTGCTGAATAATTTGCTTGCGCTTAAAACCACTTCAACTACTACAACAACTGCTGCACCAACGACGACTACTGTAACTCCTACAACTCCAACTACAACTACTACATCACCAACCACAAGCCCAACAACGCCGACTGCTACTGCTACCCCCCCTGCTACTACTCCCCCTGCTACTCCACCTGCCACAACAGGATCTAGAGCTTACACGCCAGATGAATTCGATTTAGATGGTAATAGCAGCGATGACGAAGATGACATTGAAGACGATAATGATTATTTGAGCACTTTGAGCTACACTACTCCACAAGATGAAAGCGATCCTGAGAAAAACATTAATGATGATGAAATAAGTGATAGTAGCACAGCAAATAGTGATGAAGATGAAAATGATGATGATAATTATGATGAAGGACGTGCTGCTCGCGCTCGTCCAAATGATTTTCAGCGTTATATTAGACGGCAGCAACGCATTGAACGCCAACGGCGCCAACGTCAACAAAAATTAAATAGACATCGTCAGCAACAAAGAAAGCAATTAGAAGCACGAAAACGAGCAGAAAATGAAAGGCGAAGGAACCAACAAGTAAGATTATCAAATAGAAATAGAATCCGCAGGCAAAATGAAAGAAACCGTTTGAATAAAAGACTTCGTACCCAAAAACAAAATAGATATAGAAATCAACAAAAACGACTTAGAACAATGCAACGCCGAAGACAAAAACAACGCTTAAACAGGATACGTCAAAAACAACGTAACTGGCGAAGACGTCAATCTCAGAGACAAAGAAGACGTACTCAAGCAAACAATCGCAGACGTTTGAGAAACCTGAGAAACCGAAGAGGACGTAATAAGCGTGTTGTAAGAATAAATGTTTAAATATTATACGGATTCTAAATTTTATTACAAAAACTATACATTTGTAAAACCGAAAATTAAATGAAGTAAATAAATAACATGATTTTGATATATATAATCTGATAAGCTAATTTTTTAAGTATTCAGGGAAATCAAAATAATTTGTATCTATAGTTTTATTTCTGTTATTTTAATTTCCTCGATGATAACAAGACAGATAGGTAAACATGCATCAAAATACTACGCTTAATATTTATAACCTTAATACTGCAGGCAGGTATGCAGATGTCCTCCCCACATGAACAATCTGACATCCATCTTATTATTCCATTTTGTCACAAACTAAATACAACTAATTCAAAGCCAATCTTTTGATTTGACTTTGATTTGTTTTCAATCTTTCATTCATTCTCTTTTTAGAATAATGATATGTAAAACATATTAGGATAATATAAAAACTTAGATTTAGGACTTTGACATTAACGTAGACAAACGGAAAAAAACATTCGCGGTAATTTAACTTGGTTTCTACTAATTTTAATTCAACTAAGTAACTTTTTTCTTTTTAGTATAAAATTGTTTACCTATTTATTTGGTAAAAATATACATATTTTTCAAATTGAAATTCTTTTCATATTTCAAAAATATAAAGGATAAATAGAAGATTCTCCATTAAAATCGTTTTTCAATTGGTCACTCACCACTCACATATGTTATTAAATTTTGTGTTTAGAAAACTATGCAAACTAACCGAATCAAAGGTTCAGCAAATATTTACAGTATATTTTGATGTAATTATAAATCTTCATATAGTAAAATATATAAAACAGGCTGCATACATTTTAATACAAAATTTATTGACTTCATTATCAACGATTTTGCTTTTCGATGCTGCTTTTACAGAATTCATTGTAGTTTGAAAGCTTTAAAACGTGTTTGTGTCAAGTTTTTGATAACAAAGTTATTGTTATTGGCGCTTTAAAAAAATTTAACTGGTAACCTTTGCAGATAGGTCAAATTAGTTCATTTGTGGCTCGAAAAGTTCTTTCTTAGATTCCATTATTGGCAGCAAAATTTATGTAAATTTTTAATATATGCCAAGTTCATAAATTGTAAGTTTAGTATTAAGACAGATATTTAGAATAGTGAAATTATGCATATTAAATACATTAGATAGTTATATAAAAGAAGCGAATTTTTTTAGAAAACCAGTTGATTCCAGGCTTCTGTAGCTTGGAGTAGTTTTTCCTTGTAAACATAGAATTAAAAAAGTATACCTATACTGAAAAAAGATGAAAACACTACACTTTTATCTAGCCTTGCTAGTTTGTATTTCATTTACTCTTCTACAAGGAAGTAAGTTTTGATTCGAATGTTCTTAGTTTATTTATATAGAATGGATATGAAATTTTGACTCTTTTTTATCGTTCAAAGATGCAAAAAACATATATGATGATAATCGTTCATACAAACTGTTTGAAAAAGAACATCAATCTGTTGGACGTTTTGAAAATATCGGTGCTCAAGGTCGTGTAACCAGTGGAGTTCTAAATTCTCTGTTGGCATTAAAAGGCACCACAACTACCACTACAGCTGCTGCTGCTCCAACAACAACCACAGTAACCACTTCACCAACAACAACAGCACCAACTTCCACCACTAGCACATCTCCCACGACAACTGCTCCAACCACAACTGCTCCAACAACAACTTCTCCGACAACAGCAACTTCTCCAACAGCAACTTCTCCAACAACAGCAGCTCCTACAACTGGAAGTCCAACAGCACCTACAGCATTTTTCCGTACATCCTTAAATTTTGATACAAATACTTTAGATAATGATATTTTTGATGATAACACCATCGCCGAAATCGATGATGATGACGATACTGATGATGCCAGCGATGATATTGTATTACAAAATGAAAACAATGACCTTGATAATGACGATGATAGCGAGGATTCAGAAGAAGATACTAATCTATACTTATTGAATGAAGATGAAGACATTGGTCGAGCTGCAAGAACTCGTCCCTCACAATTTCAGCGTTACATTCAAGCTCAACGCCGTCTTGAATCACTTCGGCGCCAACATCAACAACAAATACGGCAACGAAATCAACAACGCAGAAACCAAGAAATAAGAAGACGTGAGCAAAATTTAAAAAATCGTAGAATAGCAAATCAAAATAGAATACGTCGTGTGAACAACAAAAATCGTGAAAGAAACGTAAGGCGCAATCGTCAGCAGATAAGATATAGAAATCAACAAAAACGTCGCCAACAACGTTACCGACGAAAGCAATTACAACGTCTAAGAAGGATGCGTCAAAGGCAACAAATGAGACACCGTAGACAACAAAGAAGACAAAGATTAAGAACCCAAGCCAACAACCGAAGGCGACTCAGGCGCATTCGAAATAGTGGACGTTCAAAACGTATTATAAGAATGAACGTATTATAAGAATCGCGTGCACTTGTAAAACAAAATATTTAGAAATTGAAAATGGGAAATATAAAAAATAATATTTAAAAAATAATTTTAAAAACATATTTACTTAATTCAAGGCTTAGTTTGATTATTTGATGTAGTACTTATCACGAAAATTTATCTGTTTTCATTAAAAGTCTGTTCTTTTTTAAATGAACACTTTATCTATATTGCAATAAGAATATATTATGTCCATTGTGGGCTTACCACAATTATAATAACTGAAGTTCATATCATAGTGAAATGGCCGAAATAGATTTTATTATGCCCTCGACTAATTCTTTAAATTCCGTGTTCCGTGCTAATAATTTTAAAAGGAACTAGGTATATTATATTCCATATAATATAATGTGATTATTCTCCTTTAATTCTGTTAAAAGTTTCCTGATTAAAATTGTCTTTTGGCAGTGCGACATTTCAGATTAATTCTTACTACGAATAAACGCCGCAATAAATATTTTATGTGAACTAGTTTAACGTATGTTGATACAGCCATTATTCTAGAAATAAACCCTAATGCAGGGTTGTTTCAAACGGGAGTATGTGCGTAAAATCTCAAAGTTCCTTCAAGAAAATTTGTTTACAAATGGATCCTTAACCTTCATCTTAAATAAAAATCTTGACTTTAAAAGCTTGGCTTTATATTTAACTTTATTCATTTGCTCTTAAAAATAATTAAACATTTAAACTTAACCATTGCTAATCATTGTTAGCTTTCCAAAATAAACAACCCAAATAAAATTATAATTTTATACAAGAAACGGATTTAAAGTTTTTCACGAACACTGTAACTTGTATTTCTTTCCTTAGCACAATTTTATACTCGACAACGAATTAAAGTATTTGCAGACATAGTTCTATTTTACTTTTTATTAAATTTGACACTTACATAATAATATTTCATTACACTTATAATTTAAGGTTTTTCAAATAATCATTTTCAATAACCAATATAAATGACCCCTTACATATAGCATACCAACATCAACCAATACCCAATCATAAAGCTTTGTGCACAGTATGTCAAAATTTAGTATTTTCTGAACCAGCAAAGATATAGAGATAGAGATAAATTTTCCTGAAATATATTGTGAAGCCTTTTACTCCACCGCACTATCAGTGCCACGGTTGCCACTTGAAAATTTTTTTCTGTACCAAAATTGGTTTATAAAGGTACCATTTCTGTAAAAAAAGGTCCAAAATTTTTTTGGACCTTTTTGTTTTCTCGTTCTGTGTTTTTTATAATGTTATAAATGAACAAAATATAAAATAGTGCAAAGTTGCATTTATAAAAAAAATTAATTGGAAATATCCACAATAAAGTTGGGTCGTCAAAAATGTACCATTTTTTGAAAGTGAGTACCAAACGAAAAAAAAAAAAAAGTACCAATTTTGGTACTAAACTACCATAAGTGGCAACCGTGATCAGTGCTTCTGGAGTTTTGGATTGCAACAACTACCTCAATGTGCGTGATTCGTCTTTCTTAGCGCAACTTCTCGCAACTTTGAACTCAATTTCATTCACCTCTATTTGCTCTGCTTCATCGCTTCGATTCGATTGTAAAAATTTGCCTTAGAACTATCGATAACCACATAACGTACTTCCAACTTATTGTTTAACTGCGGTGTTTGTTTATAATTATAAAATATTGTTGTTGATTTATTTAAGCACACTAATTGCAAATAGTGCAATTAAGCCATTATCACCTTTTCTTATTGGTCGTTGCTCTAAAGAGTGTTTAGTATTTTACTTAATAATAATGTCAGTGCAGAGTGGACAAATTTAGTGGATTTCCAATCGAATTAATATCGATTGGTTTTTCTGAAATAATTTTGTATATAAAGTTTAAATGTTTTTAATAAAGTGCAGATAGATAATATTAAGCAATCTCTGTGGTGTTCAATTTTTTATTCTCTCTACGATTACTTTAGATTACAATCAATAAAATCAATTTGCGCTACCACGCATACCAATTAGCGAACTTATGGATTTTTCAAATCGCCAAGTCTAACCATCCTTGAAACAGGATTATTTAACAATCTTACTTCTGACATCATTTGTTACGAATTTTTGTTTGAAAAGATTTCTACTTTGAAGTTAAACTCTAAATTCCAATCGAGACAGTTGTATTTTGCCGATCAAATTTAATATTTAATAGTGTGAATACTTAATATCATAACGTATGAGTTTATGAATTTGTTTATGAAAATGTTATTACTTGAAATATAATAAAAAACATAAAACTGTATTGCGGTATCTGTACCGTTTTATCATGGCTAACAGGTATTAAAACACATAATATATAGAGGTCGGCGAGACGAGTAGTGACAGCAGTTACCCTGATAAGCGTGACGTAAACGCTAAAAAGTGCAAAAAATAACTCTTTAAAAAAATGTGTCAAGTTCTGGTCCTTCAGATATTATTCCTGAAAATAAGGGTAAGGTCATTTTAACTTTTAGTAATGCTAGTAATAACATAATTACTCCAGTTTCTGCTACCTATAAAGCAATTTTTTCTTCACTTGCAGTGCTGCTAAAAACGCTTCTGCATTTCATCTTTAACTAAGGTACCATCTACATCTCCCTTGAACTACTCCCTTGACTGCATAAGTCACTAACCAATCTCTCGCAGTTATCGCTGTCAATGATGCTAACATGAAACAACTTCGAACAGCATCAAAGTCTCTCTTAGGAACGCCGTGTACGAATTCGAAGCAGTGAACGACAACTCTTTGCGTATCCTAACTAAATGTAAGGATACCTTTTAAAAAATTAACAAAATCTTAAAAGACCTCAAAGTTTTGAGGCTGCTTTAGCTAAAGATTTGCACCAATTTAGTTTTTTCCGCAACGCTAAGTTCATGCCTCCAAGGATTTTATAACCAATAACCCTGATAGATATCCAAGTTTTTCTATTTGAGATCTGCATTCAACTCCAAATATGTGCCAACACAACGAACACTATAGAAAAGGTTGTGAAGATAATAGTGAAAATATGAATGGGTTCTTACCGGCCATAGTTTGAATATATATATATATATTATATATATTATGGTTATTCAAGTTTTTTAAAAAACTAAAAAATAAAAAGTATAAAACTCATCTGTAATCGTATATAATATTTATGAAGTATATAATATAGTGTTTATATATGTCGTATACATATATACCATCACTTTCAAAATTAATTCATACTGGTAACTATTTATTTGTACATAATTTATATTTAGTTCTGAAATATTGTATAATTTTATTAATAATTTTATAAATGATCATAAATTTGTCAGTTTTATTTTTAAATGCCAATGGAAAGATATAGTAAAAAAAATTTTTTACGCTCAAAAATTTGTTTTACACTTTTATTATTAACATTATATATTTGTATTAAATGATCGAAAAGAACGTTTTTGAAGTTTATTTTGCTTCATAATTATTATTTGTACTTTTGCGTATTGTTATGTCTAAGTACTTTTAGAAACGCTTAAAATGAAGTGCACACACGTACGTGCCTAGCCTGGTATAACCAAACATATTTACATTGTTTGCTTTCTATGCTTCAAGTAGTTTGTGGACTAAGGCGATTGTTTTAATTAAGACCTACATTGGAAATATGAAACATGAGTCTGTGAAATCGACTTTTTACCGTTATCAATTCGCTCCTTATGCGAAAAGTTGCTGATCATTACAGTAATGTACGGACTGCTGATAAAAAAAGTGCTTGAAGCAAATTTCAGAATTCGGTTAAAGTAAATAAAGCAATCGTCTAATATTTGTACTTCTTTTTTGGATTTCACATTCAATACAATTCAATTGAATTCAATTCTAAATGCGCTCCAAAATCAGTATAAAAGAGGGAATAAATTTTCAATGTGCATCAAATTTTCGTCAACAATCAAGAAGAGCTTACCTAACGACTTCAGCGTAATAGTTTTAATTAAGTAAAAATGAGACAACTCTTTGTTGTAGTAGTAATAATGGTAGCGATTCTGTCTGCTCAATCCATTCCGGCACCTGAACCAGAGCCAGTACGAGGTAAATGTTTATAAATGTTTATATCAATGTGTGTATTATTAAATTTAGAGTGTTATTTTAAACAAGGTCGGCAATCATCATATGCAAATGAACAAATAAATCATAAAGTTCGAGTTGTTGGTCCTGGAAGTTCCTCTGACGATGATGCACATATAATTGCAGAACTACGCCAAGCATCTGATACATCTGACGTTAATGAAGATAATGTTGAGAGCTCTGCCGAAAAAGCTGATGGTTCAAGTGGACGATTGTTTTTAAAAAAGTTTTTGCTTTTTAGAAACATTTTTGGAAATAGTAATCAGCAGCCTGTTATACCAATAATTATCACCGGTGCAACAGGCACTACAGGAAACGTTTCACCCACATCAACAGTCACATCCACAGGAACGATTCCTTCAGCAACTGGAACCATAACTACTACACCAATAACTACGACTGCAACTCGAATGATTCGTTCTGGATATAATGAAGATGAAGAAAATGATGCCCCGGAAGAAATTATTATGAATGATGAACAAACTCTTCAAGCAGCTCTTACAGCTGGTGCTCAGGAATATGTTGTAACTGATGAAGAAATAAAGGGCACATCAGATAGTAAAGGAACGAAACAGCCTGCTCGAATCAATCTTAGACGTAAAGGTGCGAAAAAGGGACAAGTAATAAGTGTTCGCATTCCACCACAGTATCGACGTTACTTCAAAAATGGTCAAAGAGTTATGCTCAACACAAATAATCGCCCAGTGAAACGACGCGTGGTAAAGAAGCGTGTAAATAATAAAAACCGTAGGAAAATTAACAAAAGGACCCGCGTCGTTGCAGCTTAATTAAAAATTTATGGTGTGATTCAACAAGAAAAAGTAAAGTTTTAAAACTGATTTGTAAGAATAATACTATTCTATTTAATAAAAAATATATAAAATCATTTTAAATTCTTTTACATACTTTGAAACAAAATCAATTCAGTTTAAAATCGATTGACTATATACAAATTTGTGAGGCACTCCAATAATAACTTTATTCTGCTCTTTTAGTTGTTACCAGTATTTCTTTCACTTCCGACGTGAAGATTTTCATTAACTTATTCAAAACCTTTTATATATATATACATATTTCTGCATATGTATTATATTTAATATTTTCTGAATATAATAACATACGACTTAATTCGATTTTGATTAAACAGAAAATTTTATTTTCTGCATTCCATGAAATGATCTATACACAAAAAACCGAAGAAATGCGAATTACTGCAACATGCAATTAGCGACTTGAACTTCGAGGGATAATCGTGGAACATTAAATGAATTTGAATGCTTACGAAATATAGTAGCTATTAATGGTGGCAGTATACAGGACGTGAGTGCAAGAATACGAAACGCGACAATATGGAGATCCACCTTTTATAGGTTTATGATGAAATTAAACATTTTCAAAGCATGTATATTATCCGAACTGCTATACGGTTGCGAAACATGACTCGTAACCGAGATAATTCAAAACAAAGTGCGTGCGTATGTACAGCGGTGCCTTCAGAAAATATTACGTATCTTCTGGCCAAACCGAATTTCAAACCAACAACTGTGGGACAGAACAAGTACAAACGATATCAACATAAATGTCCACAGGAGAAAGTTTGACTGGATTGGTCACACCTAACGAAAGCTATCAACTGAAGTCTGTTTTTAAGCTCTTACGTATGATCCGCAAGGCAGCAGAAGAAAAGGAAGACCTAAGATTACCTGGCGCAGATCAACACTAAACGAAATCAACTGCTAATCCACAAACCTTGACAGATCATACATCAATATTGTTGATCTCAGAGCAGTGGCAGTAAGAAAGCAAAGATGGAGGCAATTTGTAGATAGCTTATGCCCAGTATAGGGGGAGCTTGAAATCAGGTGACGCCAAGTAAGTCTTAATAATATTCCATAAAATACAAAAACGTACAAACTTGTTAATTTATTAGTTAATTGTATAAATTAGAAGTATTTACTCTCGCTAATCGTTGTAAATCTTTCGTTCTTTCTTTGCTTCGTTTGCCTTACAGTTGGTCTTCAAACAATCAAAACGAGTCTGTTCTTTCTAATTTTCCATTTCATTGCTACTGTTATCATAAGATAACTGACACCAAAACTTAAGCTTGTTTAATGAGTACACAGATAATCCAACGAGCAGGATTCGTTTGGACTTCGATAGGTCTTTAAGAAACTTTTGGTCATTTTCGATAACCTTTATAATAATAAAGGGTTCTTTATAACACGTCACCATTCTCAAAATTAATTGAGAGTTGCAAAAAACGCTTATCGTATGCTACTTTAGCTTGCTTACCATTAATATATTCTGTATTCGTTTTTTACAAATCTATTAATTTATCAGGGGTTACGATATCTTCGTTAGAATCATCGCATTCTGGAATATATAACAAGGTTAATATCAATAGAGTAGTATATATAGGGTACATTTCGTTGTTTGTCTTTATACTGAGCTTCTAACATTTTTATCCCATCGTTTATTAACAATATTCGTTGATAAAAGCATAGATAAGAATGTTTGATTTATATATTGTTTGATTTTGACTACACATTCCTTCGTTAGGTTTTTGTTGCATTTTAATTTGGTTGTTCGTACAAAATCTTTCAAATCATTAACTGTAAACGCAGTGCTTCGGTCGTTACTCAATTGCATTGCAAATAGTAACTTACTATTTTGTCATCTCAATTCGATACAACAGACGACTGTAATGCATCCTGTACTCATAATTTTCCGGTATTTTCTCTTGCTGTGATTTAACCTCTATTTTCTAAATAGTCACGTCTCGAAGTTTTATAGCAAATAATCAGTAGTATCCATCTTTTCTGGGCTTCAATTTACGCTATGTCGATTTCATGCAAGTTTTGTAATGGAGTTCACTTTAGCGCATCCTTGTGTTCTATTTGTTTCTCACTTTTATATTCGTATGTATATATTCTGCTCACTTTGGAAGACGTGAACTGTGGATTTATTGTTTCGGGTTCAAAGCGTAGATCCACGATTTGTCACCTGCCACGATGTCATAGACGTGTTTCTAGCTATCTTGGTCGTATTTTTTCAGCATATCCTTGCACCAATAATCACGTACCTTCTTTTGAGCAGTCGTGAAATTATGAGGAATCCAATGTGAACCAACCTTTCTGACAGCTAAATATAGATGTAAAATTGAATATAACACGCCGGTTTATCTCAATCATTTCTCGTACTGCTTCGACGTTTTCTGGCGTTTTATAGACACCGGATATTGTGTTTCCATCAACAAATGTCGAACTAAGTTGATCGATATTCAATTCTCCCTCAAAATTAAATATGTGGAGAAATGTGATTCGATTTGCGTTGTTTGGATTTGCGTCGCATTTTGTCGGTCACAATTAATGACGCATATCGGGGTATAAGTGTATATATTAAAGCGTCACATATGTATGTGTGCTGGTGCTTTGCGGCTCCAAGTGCAAACATAACACTTCCATATGAATTGCGTTTAAATGTAATGGCATATAAGAGTGCATCGTTTACTGTTTCTTGGGCAGAAAGTGTATGGGTCATGCATGTGTTTTTACTTAAGTGAAAAACAAAACAAAAATGCCGAATTACCAATGTTTCATACAAAAATTTTTCACTGGTTAAGTACTTTGTTTTAATCGACTCCCAGAAAAAAATGCATTTTCTTCACATTTTTCGTACTATAATGTTTAAATCAAAAGATTTCATTTTATGTGATTTAAACACTGGTTTAACGAATAAAGAATAATGATTTTTATAGAAAATAAACAAATTGAATGCATATATATAGGAAATGTATTTACAATCAGATATAAATGTCGAATACGAAAATTTAATGCAGCTTAAAATTAGATATATATCTTAGCTAGATTAATATATTTGATTATATATATATGTATATATATATAACATATACATGAAGTATATTACATATATCATTGAGTAGAACTCATGTTATATAATAAAATGTCCTTAAAACTATAAGCAAGCCTAATATGAAAACAATACGAATTTTAAAATATTTATTATTTTTCATTTATAAAGTGATAACATCAGAAGTCTTTTAAGCATTTTCAAAAAATATCCTAATAAAGTTTAAGTTTTTATGTATATACTTATGTGTAAATTTTATTAATAAAGTTATAAGACACTGTGACTAATCTTAACTAGTTCTTAAATATTGTACAATTATTAAAGTTTTTATTTTTACAATTTTTTTAGAATCAGGTACTTTGGTTTGCTGTTTATATTAAAAATTACAGAAAAACTAACATGTATTGTGTTAAATCTGTAAACGTAAGTCAACAAAAATTTCCTGAATTAAGTACGCATAAAATTTATTGATATCTCTTAAAATATTAATTGTTATATTTTGCAAAAACAAAACAATATTTGGCAATTTATTAAATATTTTTTAACTATACACATACATATATCAATATCAAGAATATTAAAATTATTTATGAAATAAAATGTACACGCCCTTCTTATTTCTAATAATATCTCCGAAAATGGCTTCATGAATATTAACTTTCTTCAAAATATTTAAATTTAATATAATAATAACCTTTTGGTATATATTTCTATATTTTGATCTTTAAATTAAAATTGGAGAATATCAAAAACCTTTAGCATTTTCAATTATACCAAACACAATATAACGAAATTGAGATCAGTCTTACAAGAAAAAATTGTTAAATCTAGTTTAAGTTGATGCTTTTGTAGTTAAACCGCCGTGGGTGGTGGCAAAAGAGATGCATTTGATGATCTTAAATGTGGATTTCCGTAAATAGCGCTGTAACGGGGATCAATGTTAATCGATAAACTGTTTGCTTGAATTGTTTGGCCAACAGTATTCGGATTAAAGTTACTACCATTTGGGGCAGAACTTATTACTGTACCCAGATTCGATTGCAAACAAGGTAGGCCATTTTCTTGTTTAACATCACGTGAACCAATTATACTTCCGTTGAGTCCTCCATTGTTTGAGAGAAATGTCATTGGAATATTTTGAAAATGTTGATGTAGCTGTTGTTGTTGCTGTTGCTGTAAATGGTTCTGATGATTATTTTGTAAAGCGATAGAGCTATTATCCGATTTAATAGAACAAGTTGTGAGGTATTGGGGTGGTGGGCTGTAATGTGTAGCATAATCACCATAAGGCACATAACCACCAGAAATATCAACCTTCAGGTCGCTATAGTTTGAAGAACGATCACCAGCATCCATTTTACATAATATATTGCCAGTTTTGTTTATTTGATGTTCACTTATTACATCAGCTGGCGGGAGTTTGACTCCTCGTTTACATTTTAAATAAACAATTACTATTATTGCAAGTATTAAGAGAATTGCAACTGTAAAAATACTACCCACAATTGTCATCAGAAGTGGAACACTTTCTAAAATATAAAAATGTATCAATACATTTATAGTACTACATATACTACTATATGTATTATATTTACTATACAAATATACAGAAATATATATAATTATATATAATATGCTATAGCGATTTATAATAAAAATGTTCATTTATTAATTGAAATCTTACTTACTTTGCGCCAGCAAGACTATTTCCGCAACATCGTTTCCATAATCGTTCACAACGGTACAATTGTATTTACCGTAATGATAGGACTGACTGTCTTTAATAATCAATGTTGATTTTACTCCCCCATTAATTGCATCAACTAATATTGAATAATCTTGACTAGTTTCAGTACTTATTTCATGGCCGTTAAATGTCCAGGATACGTGCCGAGCTTTCGGTACAGAACTAGCATAACATTCTATTCTTGCAGTGTCTCCTGTATAGCCATATTGAAAGTGAGGTGATGAAATTCTTGGCGATCTTTTAAGATACACATAAGCATCTGAAGATATTTCTGAGTAGCCTGGAACATTTGCTTTACAATAGTAGCGTCCAGTAGTTTCGTTTGTTAAAGTAAAAGTTAAATTTGAAATCGATCCAACAACCTGTTAGGTAACAATAACAATTTCGGATTAGACAACCTGTTATATCGGAGAATATCAAAATTTTTCACAGTTTGACAAATTAATTGCATATTTCTTCTAATGGGTAATATTTTTTCACATTTCAAAAAAAATTTATTTATATTCGATTTTGTTTGTCTCAATTTTTTTTTTTTGTATTTTTAATGTGCAGAAAAGATTTCCTTTATTATCGATAATCTATGTTAAAAAAAAGAAATGAAAAAATTATTTACCCGATCAGTTGGATGCTGAATCCAGATAATATCTGCAGAAGGATTGCTGTCTACTTCGCAAATTAATGAGACAATATTTCCAACATCAGCCTCTATAGATTGTGGTCGTAGTTTAAATGTCGGTGCATCTATTTTATTCAAAAAAGTTTACAATTACATAATAATATTATATACTTATATAAGAATCTTACAGCTTATATCAAGGGTTTCACTATCTTCACTTTTACCAATGCTATTCTGGACTTCGCATTTAACGATGGCATCGTGAAACTTCCTCGTAACATTGCGAATAACCTGAAGTTCAAAAAAAAAAAATGCATTTTTTATTGTAAATAGAAACCGAACATAATATTTTCTCATTATAAATACTCTTTAAAATTTAATACAAATGTTTCTTTTATAAAATAATACAAAAATAATGCTGAATGCAAAAAATTAGCTGCAGGGTTATCTGTTAGGTAACATAGCGTACTTGTGGTTGAAATTTTTATCAAATTTTTATTTGTGTACATATATTGTTTGGACCTAGTTTTAAGTTGCAATACACATCATTCCAATATTCAGTGCGGGGCATTTTATATAAGTGAATACATTTGAGGGTAATTTGGATGAATTTGCAGCAAAAGCACGGCCATAATTTTACCGATGTTTCTTTTCAAAGTGTCAAGATTTTAAAGATTGTTCGCTTTAGCATGACCCTTTTCAAAACCCAACTTAAAAAAGTTACAAATCATATAATCTTGGTGACCAATTCTCATTCTCAAAACAGAAATTGTTGTATGGCTTGTGAAAGGGTCAGATATCTAAGGTATACATATCTTTAATTTCACATCAAAAAAATAGGTAATCATGCAACTAGGATTACAATTGACGGTTTATATCACAGCTTCGCCACTTTCAAAAAAGTACAGACTCGATGGTCTTTCAGATATCACTACTCACCAGAATTAATACGAAAGGCGACTCTTAAATTAACCTACGACATTTCTCAAAAAATGCAACTATGTTGGAAATCATCATAGAAAGACCCTATAATCCATAAAATGCACCAGTCGGCCTTGTGAGGAAATAGTAACGGTAATTGTATGTAGATTACCAGCAAAGCCCACTTTAGATGACTATGTATTACCTTGAATTTAACATATAAGAACGTTGTATGGCAAACATAACTCGAGTAAAGAGATAGTCAGTAAGCACTTTAAAACTTACAAGCTAAAGATCTTCGCAGCAATAATATTTTATCAATAAACTACATAATCACATTTAAAATCGAATGTGATGTTCGACGCGATAACCACAATTGAACCTCATCCAAAATACAACAGTTTGACGTTCTCTGCGTTATTCAAAACTTTTGTCTCAAGTTATGATTGAAATTCTATTAAAAAGGAGCTAACAAAAATGATAAACATCAAAAAGTTTAAATCAAAAATATGTCTTATGCCTTCTAAAGGATGAAAAGATTAATTTTTAAATAATAAATTGGTTTTGTAAAAAACCATTAAGCACGATGACTAGATGATATAACTAGATGATTTCATTAAATCAATTTGAATAAAAATATATGTAAAAATATATCTATAAAACTTTCGATGGTATTTTACCACGTTATAGTAAAATCGTAAAATGCAATATCTTCAGTTAATCAAATATAATGGACACCAAAAAAAAAAAAATACCGGGTTATGCATTAAGTTATGAAATTTGATAAAAGAGTGGTGTGAATAAAATAAGTAAAGTTATCTTACCATTTCAGTCTTTTGACCGCCAATGATAGGCTCATCATTTATATACCAACGATAACGAATATCACTTGGATTAGCATCTGCCTTACATTCTAAACGAACTTGAGAGAACTCTGGTATTCGATCAGTTGATGAAACTCCATTAATTATGCTGACTTTAACTTTCGGTGAATACATAACCTGGAAGAGGAAATAAATAATGCATTAAGAAATATATTTTAAATATTTTCAAAACTAATACAAAATCAAACGTAAACAATATTTTTATTAATTAAAATTTGAGTAGAACCACATATCAAAAGTAATTTTACGTATTTTACGACTTTTGGATAAGCAAATTGGTGTAATAAATGATATCAGAAAAAGAATGCATGGATGGCTCAGTCGTACCTTAAGAAGAGATACGCGCTGTATAACTCTTTCAGCCTTAGAATGCAAACAGGCTGGATTAAGAAGAAGATGACATACAAAAACAATATGGAGACAATATATGGAGACTCTCAAAATATTAACTTCACTAAAATTTAATCAACAAAATTAATATTCTAAGATTCCTCTTAAGTGTGTCCATAAATTTTATTCATTTTTTTAAAAAAGTTAATTTGTTGAGAACTTTTTGTGTTTGACAAATTATTTGTTACCTCAAATTTACTCAATAATTAAAAACCAGGGCATCGAACCGGAATTTTTTCCATTTCGTTCCGGTTCAAGTTAAAAAAAATATATCGGTTCGGTTCCGGTTTCCGTTTCGACAAAAATATCGGTTTTTTTTTTGGTATTTGGTTCGGTTCCGAATTGATGCCTTGCTGAAAACAGCATCAAATAATGAATATTAGTATTTTAAAACTAATATAGCTTCTTGAAGAGAAAAGGGAAACTTATTATTCTCCAATCGCACAATAGGTTCTTTCTATAATTATTTTCGCATTCAGAGGTCTAAAATACTTCAGAAATTAAAATTTCATTATATACACAATTCTTGGCGATTTGTGTAGCATCAAACTTGAATAGATATTTTTTCAAAAAATATAAAATATATATAATCACCTCAACACGTATTTTAACGGAACGATATGTTCGATCAGCAGTGTTTTGAGCTTGACAAGTAAAATATGTATTATGATGTTCTTTCTTTGGAGATAACCGCAGAGTAGATTTTGCTGTAAAACGACGTTGGTCCGGCAGCTGAGAAACAGTGTATTCAACGTTTTCAGTCAAAACATTACCAAACCCATCAATCCATGTTATCTGAAAAAATATTAATAATATAAAATAAAACTTATATTAGTTTTTTTTATATTCATTTATTTAAATGTTTAACTCATGATTCGGATTGCAATAACTAGTACGCTTAAAAAATTGTGTTTATAAAAAAAATACTGAAGAATCTGTAGAGACTAGCTTAGTTGATATGAAAGTCATGGTTAATTTTGTTATCTATAATGTGAAAACAGTAATAAATAATTTAGCTTATTTATCAAATATCAATACTCTACCCTTGCCATTCAACCGAAATGAACATTTATATATTTTAAGTTTACATGAGATCTTACATATGAATAAATGTATCGATAACGCATATTCTAATTTAAAAATTTGAATAGTTCATAAAAGTGCTCAGTAATGTTATTATTAGTGATTATTGTTATAAGGATTTATTTGAAAATTTTTAAATCTTCAAAAAAAATGTAGCTTACTCAGACATATACACACTAAAATTAAACACTTCGGAAATTAAAAAATTGAAATAGGTGGTTAACTACAGAAGAAATATTAAATTAAGATACCTATAATATGCAGACAATCACTATAAACACATCTTCTAAAATTTCAACGAACGGAGTAATATTGCAGGGTAGAAAAGTTTTGAAACTTAAAACATAGCTATATAATGTCGTATATAATTACCTCAGCTGCTGGCTTTCCACCTGCAGATATACACTCTATATCAATCTTTCGATCCTCTGTTGAATAAATAACATCACCTTGCATTATTTTAGGAGCTTCAGGTGGAACTAAAACTTTAAGTTCAGCAAAAGTGGAACGAATTGCAGGTTGCGCTTGAGGGCCAGGACTAACTTGACATTGGTATCGTGCATCATCATCTAATATTACAGGATATATATCCAATGAATAGTCTCCTTCTTCATCACTTCCAATCATTGAATATCGTTCAAAACCACTTAAATCACGAGATGTTCCTAAACCAAAATCATCTTTAGTCCATTGCAACACACCTTGTTTGTTGATTACACGACACGGCAATATAACCCTTGCACCTACAATAGCTGTTTGGTCCTGCGGTTCCATGGCGAATTGTTGATTTTGAAAACTATTTGAAAGTGAGGCTGCATTTTCCAAATTTACTTCTGAAAGCTGTTTTGACACCGCGGTGTCAATTAAATTTGTTGCACATATTGTGATCACAAAGAGAATATTACGAAACATTTGGCTCCAATTTGAAACAATTTTTAAACAAATAATATATTTTATACTGATTTCCTGATTTCAGATTGTCCTGAAACATATAACATAATGGAAAAAATATATTTTTTGGTTAAATTAAAAAGTTACTAAATTTAATATATATATATGAATTAATCACATGCTTATTATGTGATTTTCAATCAATATTTTCTAGACAGGTTTTAGTCTGGTTTATGAACTTATATAAAATACTAACATATGATTTATGAAACTGTTTGCCACTAGTTGTTCTTTCATTTTGCTATGATTTCTTTATTTAACCTAAATTACAATTGCAAATGTGCTATTATTTCTAATATTTTAACAAATATTATTACTTAAAATACATGAATTTACAATATTATCAAGGACGCCTCTAGTACAGGTTCAGTTTACTACTGCATAAAACAAATATATTCAACGTTCAGTCCCACGCAAACATTCGACATATGTACATCCAAAACTGTACGTGGGCGCAAATTCAAGCAGTGCTTGTTTCTTGAGGGAAAAACTCACTATGCTAATGAGATTAAAAACTCGAAAAAATGTAACAAAAGGTTTATAAGCAAAACATTATACAAAAATATTAAAGTAAAATAGATTTTATAAGCAAACAACCAAAATTTGATTAATAATTTTAATAATACAACTATATATTTGTCGTAGTGAATTTTACTGCATATTATTTACATACAATATTATATCAGTAGCTTAGATAATTTTTGTCAAGGGGAAAAAAATTGAAAAATTCAACTCAATCAATTGAAAAACTTTGTTCAAAAAGTGTCAGCAATTATAAGATTTGCAATCATTTAAACTAATCGTTTCCACATATTGTAGCCTAAGTTATAGATTTCGACATAACGTATTTAGAACCCTTATTTGCATTAATTCTTATATAACATAGAATGAAACTTCCTTTTCATGTTTGCAATCAAATATCTATTATCTATAAAAATAGAATGGACATTCTTAGATTACGATATATATATCGTATAAGTTCTCATCAAGATCTATAGATCATTTTTTTGTATTATATTATATTATACATTATATATTGTATTTAATTATATATTATATTATAAAAATAATATTATTACATTATGTTATAATTATATTTTTATTATATTATATTATAATAATAATAATATTATAATATATTATATTATTTTATATTATATTATATTATATTATATTATATTATATTATATTATATTATATTATATTATATTATATTATTTTTATTATATCATAGTACTATAGTGTTTATTATATTATATTACTATACATGTAATCATATTATATCACTAGATTTTTATTATATTATACTATATTTTTTATTATATTATATTTCTATATTTCTTATTATTTTATATTTCTTTATTTTTTATTTTATTATATTTTAATATTTTTTTTTATTATATTATATTATTTATTATATTATATTATGTCATAGTACTATAGTGTTTATTATATTATATTACTATACATGTTATCATATTATATCACTAGATTTTTATTATATTATACTATATTTTTTATTATATTATATTTCTATATTTCTTATTATTTTATATTTCTTTATTTTTTATTTTATTATATTTTAATATTTTTTTTTATTATATTATATTATTTATTATATTATATTATGTCATAGTACTATAGTGTTTATTATATTATATTACTATACATGTTATCATATTATATCACTAGATTTTTATTATATTATACTATATTTTTTATTATATTATATTTCTATATTTCTTATTATTTTATATTTCTATATTTTTTATTTTAATATTTTTATTATTATATTATATTCTATTTTTTTATTATATTTTATTTTTATATTATATTAATTTATATATATAATATACCGGCAGTAGCCGTCAGTAGCCGTATGTCATTGCTATAAGCCTTATATATATAATATAATTGTTATAATTTTCTATATAATACAACAAATTTAAAATGAAGTAAAATAAAGCTAAAATACTACTACTATATAATATAACATTAAAATATATATGCATGTGTATATGTATATTATATCTTTTTATATAATGTAATATTATAAATAATAATCGTTACTGCTAATATTAACTTTAGTTTGTTAAAAATATGTCTAATGTCGGCATTTGAATAATGATTGTTTTGTACTGCAAGCACTAAGTTGTTTAAATTCGTTGCTATGTTGCTTACTTAACTTTGGATATTCTACTTGCAACCACCAAATTTTTGTTCTAAAGGAGAGTTCTTCGTTTACATGAACCGCTCAACAAAGGATGAGTCATCGTTCCAAACATACATTTCAATGTAACTTATGAGTACATGTGTGGGGTACATGCTTAAGGGTATCTTCCATATTAAACTTTTTGAACATATATGACTAAAGCTTACTGGTTTTTCATAAATGATTCTGAATGAATCAGAAAGGCATTAGCTTCCTATTGTAATGAATAAAAAAACAGCCCTGATTCTGAGTGAATCAGAAAGATATTAGCTTCATATTGTTATGAATAAAAAAACAGCCCCAGTTGCGCTAACATTTAAATAATGTTCATGGTCTATTTAAAAGAACTGTGTTTCCACATAAGAAATTTTATGAATGTGAATTTAAAACAATTTAAATATTAATTGGTTTTAATTAATAACATAAACGAGAAATGAAATTATTTTATGGTTTTTGTGGTTATGATAATCTTTAAATGAAACTTTATTTTGATCTTCTTACTGTTAGCAAAATTAATTAATTAAGTAAACTTTTAAGTAATACATACGTTCAAGGCAAACGAATTTCATATAGGCAGTTATATAGGAAATTGAAATTGCTATTTATACTCCATCAATATCTTCCTTTATGTAATTATGTATGTTTATTTACAAAATAAAATATTTCTGTAAAACAGATGTCACACTAATATATGCAGATAAATCATATTTTAATTAAGGTTTTTCATATTATTTTTTTTATCATAAGAAAATTATATTTTTTTGTTGTTACTTGAAAATAAAAGCAAACATTATTTGCTTATTTTCTATTTACACCAAAAACTAATTGTATGTTTTCAACAATTTTCACAAACTTCACAATTAACTGTTTACTTTTAAGTAAATCTTATATTATATATGCGTATATACATATTTAATCCGTCAAAAACAAGTTCTATACAATTGTTAAACACAATCAACGCGTCTTAACTTTTGCCGACATAAAACTCGAAACGTTCCGAACAACACTTAAAATCATTTTAACCAAGAAATCTGTGTGACTTGTGTGAAGGAAGTAAATTTTTAAAAAATGAGAGAGTATTTTGGTTTGAGTATTAAAAAAAAATATACCAATAGAGTATACACGTTGTAAGAGAAAAAGAGGATTTAAAGTTTTTAAGAGTAAATAATTAAAAGAGTTTCGTGGTGTATGATGAATGTACATGAACATTTTTATCACACCCGAGAAATACATTTGAAGCCCTACAAAAATTTATCACATACATATTAAATATTTATTCTTTTCGTAGTTTGTATCTCAAAAATCGAAGAATTGAAGAAGTAAACCTTCAACTTCTGAACCTATAATTAATGATATAACACAGAGAAAGACTTGAAATTCACTTACCTTTATGCTACTTTCACAGTATTACTTAACAGTGTACGTTGTACGTTAATAAGTAATACAAACACATGTGTGTATGGTGTTTTGCACATGTGTGTGTGTATGTGTGTACTGTGTACTTCAATAATATTAAAATTATTTTTTATTATTATTGAACTCAATTTACTTGAATAAAACAAAAATTTAATTTTCATTCATTCATATCAGTTTCATACATTAAAATATGATGATTACTAAATCTGAACTAAATTTAACAGATTTTAGTTTACTTAATTACTTCAGGAATTGTAAAAAATTGAATAGCCTTCTGGTTCGTAGTACGAGTTCCTTTATACTTCTGTAATTATCTCTGTATCAGAAAGTATAACAAAATAGAATGTACACGGCATTTAATAAAATTTTGTGCATCTTTCTAAAAGACAAAGTCATGGATACTGTTGAAGAGACTGTGAAATAAAAATGCCACACATCCGGTTGCTTGGGTTCGACGTTCTCTGTAATGCAATGTTATGTTAAAATTAACTTGGAACAAAACTATAATAAGCACAGCGTTAAGTGAAACTGCCTATTTTTGTACCCTTGACATAAAACAAATTTTTAAAACAGTTCTTTGTCAATGAGATATTTAAGTGCGTTGATATTGGCTGCAGTCTTGAAATATCTTTCAAATAGAAATTTTTATAAAGCAAAAACGATAAGACTTCTATGATATTTATCATATCATAATAATTATATTATATTCAAATTCTAACGTTAAAATTGACAACAGACCAGGAATTTCTTTGTAAATAAAACTTTATATACATTTATTTCAAAGTATATAAAGATAAATCTATCATACTATCGAAAGGCACGACTATCAACAATAGGCGAAAGTTTTTCGGAAAGTTCGGCACGATATTGATAGTTCATTTACTATGAAAGAAAAAAAAATAAATATGTAACTATAATAAATACGAAAAATATTGTCCCTCAAAAACTGAAAATTGAATAAATCTTTGGACGTCAAATCGGTTCACCAAAATTCTTTTACTTTATTTCTTACTGATAAAAAAATCTTGTAGTGTCTCAAAGTGTCCTAAACCACTAAACATATTATATTAAAACAGATCACCATTTAATATTTATTGAATAAATCACTCACATTTCAACCAACGTTCAAATAGTAAACGTTTTCGACCTAGAAGTACTCGCACAGATAACTAAACTGGTTAGTGAGATCTCTTCAGATGGCATATAAAAATTTTAATACTTGTTAATTAAATATATGTATTTAAATTAACTAATTTAATTTAATGGACTCAATTAGGTTAGACTATTTTATAAATAATATATTGAAAATACTCTACATTTTATATAAGGACATTCTATGTACATTCATATTGAATATATTAATTTTCATTTGTTTTTAATATTGATTCTAATTTGCTTTATTTACTATTGTGTAAAAAGTATCTGGAATTTATATTGTGATAAACATACGTAAAAGATCCGTCAAATTTTCTTTTTTTATATACTGTGGTGTGGTGGACCAAAACCCCTGAAGTTTTAAGTTGATTAAGTTTACTAATTGTTTTAAATGCTAAGGGGCGCCATTGTTTTTAGTTATGAAATCATTTCCATTTCGAAGAAATCATTTATATTGAAAGCAATATTCGTAGAAAGGTTCTTCATGCCTGAAAACATGGTAGGCTAGGTATGTTATTTGGTTTTTTCATACTAAGTATCGGCTATATAAGTCCAGATATCATGCGAGTAGCTTATTTCGCCTAAGTTCTGGTGGTTTCTTGATCTACACTATCCATCAATTTTAATTTACAAGTGACAGTAGGTATTCCAATATCGTATAGTTTGTATTAGACAGAACAATTTTGTTCCATACCATTATGCCTCAGAAAAAACATTAGGCATGTTCTGAAAACGATGCTGATTGAATTTGGAGAAGCTAGGCAAATATGTATGCCTACTTAAGTGCATAGCTACTCCTACGATAGATGAAATTTTTGCTTGATAAAAACTGTAATGGTCAAGTAGACGAAGATGATAGTTTTAATCCTAATTTCTTCGAGAACACTTCAAATCCAAGTCTTTTTTAAAAGTAAAGCCATCTGGACAGAAGATCAATTCTTCTTCTCTCTATGGCACTTATGCATTCTATTCTGTTCTCAACGGTATTTGCATTTTGAGGTGCATAGTAAATTTGAGTTTCAGGACAGAGTCAACGATGTTTTGCGTACACCTACTCTAGTTATGTAAAATAGGTGAGTGGCAAGTCGGTCATCCCATAGTGTCATGCACTTTTTCATTTAATAATTTAACAATTTTATCCATAATCTTTCTTTTCCTTGAAAACGTATTATTCCCAAAATTTTTTTAACAAACTCATACTATCAACTCTAATGAGAATTAATGATTTTTTTTAATAATTGAGTCTTGGATTTTATAAGATATAGTGATATATAATGATTTATATTTATAGTAATATAATTTATTATATTATAATAAATAATAGACTATACACTATATACGTATAAAGTCGATTAATATTATATGTTCAAATTATAAGGTAATTATAGAATATTTTTATGTCTTAATTACAAATTATCTGTGTCTGTAGTAAATTTTTGTGTATCCTCAATTCACTAAGTATGAGAGTCATGTTCAAACCAAACATAATGTGAAGTATTTGTGTAATTATAAATATGCACGCACTGCATCTCTGTTCACATGTGCTATTACAGAAAGAAATTGTCTGGGAGAATTTTATAAGGTCTACGTGGGGAACATTTTACGGATGCTGTTGAAAACAATGCTTAAAAAACATGAGTATCTAAATATTCTTTTGTATCTAATAAAAGAATTGTAGATGTATTTGTGACACGTATACATTACATTTAGGCACACATATCTATGTGTACATACAGATTTCTTTTAATTCATTTTCATACTTTATGATTTTTGAACGCTATTCTTGAGATACGTGCAAGATTTTAATTTCAAACTCTATTTCCGTTTTTTGTCTCTTAAATTTTTTATTTATCATAATTCTTATGTTACTTGTAGATTTAAAACTATTAACGCAAATTTAGTTACACTTTTCATGTACTTTCTTTTACTGTAAAAAAAATATTATTGTTCACTTTTCATTATTTAAATTTAATGAGATTTCTGTGCTTAGTGTAAATGATTTTTCACAAGATTTGTGAGAAGTAGTTCATCAATCTTGAAAGAATTACTTTACTTCGACATATATACGACATTTGTACTTAAAAAATGTATAAATATATATCTATAATTATATATATATATATATATATATATATATATGTATGTACATTATTATTAATATGTAAATAATTAAAATATTATTAATATATAATATATTTGTAATTATATGTACCTATGTATATATATATATATATATATATAAAATATATATGTATTAAGAAATAACACATTTATTATTATTTCCTGTATATATAAATTTATTTATTATATAGAAAGTAAGAGTAAAAGTAAGAGTTTATTAATTTATCACTATTGCAGATATGCTTTTATAACACAATGATCCTCATACAGAGTACATAAAATGGATAGATAGATTAATTAGATTATTTGAGACAATCTATTAAGTTGTCTGTGTTCTTTATTATATATACATATATATATATATAATAAATAAATAATAAATATAATAATAAATGTCTTATTTCTTTCTTAATTAGTATAAACATATTCTCGAAAATATACAATTCATATCATAGTAAAAATACTTAGTAGATATATGTAGTACTGAAGAAAACCCCCAAAAAATTCTTGTAAAAACCCTTGACTCTTGTTAATATAGAATTAATAAAAGTTTTAATAAAAGTTAAATAAAAATAAGTTGCGTTCATTTAAGCAATTAACAAATAAATAATTTAATCCAATATCAGTTGAAATATATTGTGTATGAGGAGAACGTTTCCAAAACGATGTTCGGTCTATTTAGGTTTAACTTGAAGTAATCTTTAACAGCAAAGTTATTCCAGGAATTTCTGGGAAATGTTTCATTGCGGAAAGTTATAGATGCAACGATAATAATATTAGGTATACCGTATTAATACATATACATATAACATACATATATATTTCAACTTTGAATGGTGAATAGTGAATAATTACATTCGATTGCATTGTGCAAGCTATCCTATGGGAACCGAGAACTGGGTTATGAGAACTGACTGTTAAATATAATGTCTTTAATACAATATTTACTTTCAAAAATCATCATACTAACAATTATTC